CACATGTACGTATTTTTTTAAATGGCATAATGCACCAAAAACCTACAGGTCCAAACACAATACATCAAGACTCTTTGAGAATGGTAAAAGGATGCAAGAGAAATGAAAAAGGGGTGGGAGGTTGGGAAGAACTCAAAAAAATATTTGATGAGGAACAGTATAGAACTAAAACTACTTACAAATCCCACATTTAGGAGGTATATGGCATAGTCTTCTGGCCAGCCCCAGATGGAACATTTTTTAGTGTTTTCAAATGGATTTTGTAATTTCAATCTTTGCTCCTTATAACAAACAGATCCTTGAACAATCACAATTTAGAATGAGGTGCTCTGAATGCAACATAGGGGAAGACACAAGCTAAACCCTAGAATAAACAGAAAAGTATTACAAACAGAGATAGTTCACTTCATCTCACTTTTTTGTTTAGAGACGTGTGAATGAGAAGAACAAATGTATACAAGATGTAACAGGGCCCCACATGTCAGGTACACTACCTTCTCCTTTTCCTGACCCTCCTGTCCCCTACCCTTCTGTTCACTGTGTCAACAGCTCAAGTCCTGGTCTTCCCCCTCAGAAAGCGTACAAAACTCTTTGTCAAAGAAATATTAAGCTTAGCTGATTGTTCTTCTTTGGACAGCAATGGAACATCTGACCATGAGAAACTGCTCCCCTGTCCAAAAGAATCCAATGGAATGCCCCAGACGACTTATTCCTTTCTAGGACAACACACCTGAAGAGCAGTGATGTGATCATCCCATCACCACACCACTTATTTAGGGTGCCACAAGGATTTATGTTCTCTCTTGCCTAATTCAACATCTACATGCAGGCAACAGGTAAACTAGTAAAGCAAGAATCAACTCAAGGGCAAACAATATGCAAAAGAGACCTATTTGCTTCTTCATGCACAAGTCCATTACAAGTACCAACACAGACCAATGGCAGGACAGGTTCAGCTTCAACCATACAACCTCTCAAGTCAGAGGACATCCCTTTGCAGAGTGCAGCCTCCTGTGGCTGGCAGTATACATCCATTGTTGTGAATTAAGTCCTTTGTGGAGGGTTTTTCCCAGACTCCTAGCTAAGTTCTCAAATGGCAGGCTCCACGTCACACTTTGTACCATATTCTGGATGACTGACCAAGCCTGGAGAATCCTTCTGTCTCTCCCTGCCTCCTAACTGGAATACAGCAGAACCTTCTAACCATACAAGTGAGAAAATTATCCTCTATCGAACTGTTGCATCTGACATGAGGGAAGCTGCATTAAATCTCCTCTGGACAGGTAAAGGAGAATTAGTCACAGACCTAAAAAAAAACAGGTGGCTTAGATTCAAGTCTTCCTGACTCAATCATACTTGCTATGTTCAGAGAATCACATCCAACATAGTTATAGATGCGAGTGTGTGCACATATGCATAGGCACATACATACATTTAAGAAATATCAACTTCATGAGGACAAACACAATGACAATGATGTGATATATCTTAAGAGAAAGTACCAAATTTTCTACTTAAATTTCATTTATGGATTGTTACTAGGCATCTGAAAATCCACAATCATGGGAGAAAGAAGGGGGTGGGGCGGGGGATGTACTGGTTTAAAACACAAAACAAAACAAACAGCCGACAAACTTAGAGGGGTAGTAAAGGCACAATAAATAAATAAAGGGGACCATACATAACAAATGGAAGAAAGAGGAAGCTGATAGCAATGCATGTGAAACAGGAGCAAGGAACTCTAGAAAATTAAAATGGAAAGCAAAAGACAGAGAAAAATATACAGCTTGCAGATTTAAAGACAAACAGAATTTCAGTTAGTCATAAAAATACCCTATTATTTGTATTGGTTCATTCTCAGGTGGAAACAGTAGAATTACTGATAATTATAAAGAAAAGATAAAACTGTTCAATATAATATTTATGGTCTCTGAGAAAAAGGTTACAGAATGCAGTCACTGTACAGGCCTATTTATCATCCTTTTAATTACGTGGGCCCAGCCCACAAAGTTTCGCATTAACCTCCTTCAGGCAGAGAGGCAGTCACTGTACAGGATGATGGTGAAACATTTCATTCCCAGTAACTCAGGAATATCTTAAAAACTGGCTTCTAAAATTAGACATTTTTACACTAGAAAACTTGCATCCAAGAGTTTTGAAAATGCTGCCAGAAGAGATCTAGACCATTAAAAAGTGTTGATTTTCAGTAAGTCTGTGAACTTCCAGAAAGAAAGCTAATGCTGCACTAGGATTTACCAAGGTTAAACAAGGCTACATACATAATAGATGTCAGGCTCAGAGGCCATTAATCTGAGACAAAATAATGAAATTGCTGACAGGAGTCTCAATTAATAAAACATGAAGAAGGCAATACAATTAATGCCAATCAATGTTGATTTAGGAATGAGGAATAGATGCCCTACTATTTTCATATTATTACAGGCTTGGTTGATAAAGGCAGCGGATATTATTTAGTGCTGCATGATCACCACTTGAAGACCCAGAACAGAAAAAAGGCATAAAAAATGGATTAAGAAGTAGCTAGCTAACAAGCCTCAAAATGTAACTATACAACAAAGAAATTAGTATCATGTAGATAAACATGTGGGTATCTGGTGGCGTTCTTCACCCTCTTGATCCTATACTATTATTCATGTTTACTGATGGCTTGGAAGAAAAAAAAAGCAAAACAACCACCATTCCAGTCAGCTGGTAGATCACTCACAGTATGGACGATACTGAGACATGACCGTGAGCAAAGAGTTTATACCAGTAATTCTCAACCAGGCAGCTGCAGCATCCTGGGGTGCCTTAAGATCTTTTCAAGGATGCTACAGGGAACCAAAAATGTTAGCATGATTAGGTGTGCAAACATGATTTACAAGATAAGCCCAAAGATTTCTACTAGTAAGTCACAGTGTTAAAACCAATCTGCCCTGCTGTAGTCTTTCTGAGTTCTTTGCAGCAGAAGAACTGCTGTATTATTTTTCTGTGGTCAAATATCAAGTGAAATTAAGAGCTGGCATTTTCCTACGGGGTGCCCAAGTCAAACAGGTTGAAAACCACTGGTTTATATATACAGAGTGACAGGACTATTTATTGTGCTATGGTTCAGTGGGCCTAGTCCCACTAGGAAAACTCTAGGCCTCCCTTAATTAGGACACAACAATCGATCTCATGGGACAACAAATGTAAAAACAGGGATAGGAGTGTGTTTCAAGGAGGGCACTGAATAGAGGCCACTCATCCTCAAATGAATCAAGGAGCCAGTGGACATTACCCACTGAACTCTGCCAGATGTGAATGGGTGAGGGACTGGAAAACAGTCCTATAGTTGCTGGGGGTCTCCCTAGCCAGTCTCCTTTCTGGTCAGATAGATGATGAGTTTGGCTCAAACCAGAAGGAAATTCACAGATTCACATAAGTTTAGTCCCAGGACATGATGGGACCAGAGATGGGGAGCGTATAAAGGAAAAGGTTTGTGGAGTACAGACTCACAGGAAGCAAGGCCATAAGCAACCACTGTGATCACCTAGTCTGATCTTCAGTAGCATGAGAGAAGCTACAGGAGTGGTCTAAATTTTGCTCCCATTTGGTGCATCTTAAAGAAAAGCATCCAGTCTTGACTTAAAAATGGCTGCTGATGGTGAATCTACTTCAACCCTTAGCCAACTGCACCAACAATCCTCCTCATTCATAAACTCTGTGCGCTTTTTAAATGATCATTAGAGGTTGCTCACTGGAAACAACAGAACTGAACTAAGGCAGGTGCAGCAACATGTAGCTAGAAAACAAGCCAGGGAGGTACATTCCTCCTAAGCAGTGACGTGTGTGTATGTTGGATGGGAGGGGGGAAAGTGTAGGAAAACTAGATGTGTTTGTTTAACTTGCTACATCAGCCCTCTCCCTCTTTCTGATATGATATGCCCTGCTATGCTAGCCACACCCTCGCAGGGCCTTGTACTAACCTCCAGCACAGTCTGACTCTAGGCAAGGTGTGTTTCCTTGAAGGGCTCAGGAGTGCAGCCCAGACACCCTGATCTCTGCCCATGAAGCACCCTGGAGTAGGCCCCTCTCCTCAAACCCTGCAGGTGCTGCAAGGAGAGGGGCCATGCAACCAATTCAAATTAAAACTGGATAGAAACCAGTTCTGAAGTTGTTACACATGTTCAAGTATTAATTCCATTGCTGGTTGGCTCTTTTTTGTAGGTGAACAGCCCTTTTCATAGTGCATTAACTACTTCTCATGTATGGCTGGTCTACATCTATTGCATGGCTCTCCCCTTAATGGCAGGATAATTTCTTTGCACCTGTGGCTGCTCTAACTTTATTGCAAGATTTACCTGTTAACTGCATGGTCACCACTTCAGACATATGGTCAATCTATATTCATTGCATGGTTCCCCCTTAACAGTGGGATAATCTCTTTGCACCTAAGGCAGTCTCAATATTTTGCCCAGTCCACCTGTTAATAGCGGAATAATCCCTTTGCATGTGCCAGGCCTACATTTATTGTGCAGTTCACGCATTAACTGCAGGATAACCTTTTTGCACGTGTGCCAGGCCCACATTTACTGCACGGTTCACCCATCAACTGCAGGATAACCCCTTTGCATGCATGCTGGGTCTAAATTTACTGTGAGGTTCATCTGTGGGATAACTCCTTTGCATGTGGGCCAGGCCTACATTTACTGCAGGGTTCACCCATCAACTGCATGATAACCCCTTTGCATGTCATTAACTGCGGGCTAAACCCCCTGCAGCCCTGTCAGGTCTACACTGATTGCCAGGTTCACCCACTAAGTGCAGGATCATCCCTGTGCACCAGATCGAAAATTACAGCACAGTTCATTCATTAAGTGCACGACAACCCCTCAGCACGGCGCGGGGTGGAAGAGAAGGGCTGCCCAGGTGGGTCATGCCCTACCGGCCCCTCCTTCTCGTGGGAATCCCGCCCCACACCCAGCAGGGGCCGGTTCGGTGCAGCCCCGCGGACTCACAGCGGGTTCCAGCGCTCGGGCAGGCGGCGGTGCAGCGAGATGCGGTCGCTCACGTAGGTGTTGATCTGGTGCAGCCGGACGCTGTCGTCCTGGCGGCGCTGCTCGGCCGCGCTCAGCTGCAGCCGCACGGGCCGGCCCAGCTCTCCCAACGCGTCCGGCTCCGCTCGCGGCTTCTCGTACA